TATATATATATATATATATATATATATATAGTGTATATATATTTAGTCACACCATGCTGCTAAAGCCCTCTTTAACTTAATTTAACGGAGAACAAATTGGTGTCAGGTGAAGAAACTCATGTGCTTAGAAGAGCAATAAATGTGATTTGTTTGTGATCCAAGTGATGAGAGAAATAGAAAGAGATGTGATTCAGTGTGATGGTAGTTTTTTTTTGTTTAAACACAAAACGGTCTGTCTTGTATGACAACACATAAAAACATTTTATTTTTGAAATGGAAAATAATGTAAGGCTAAAAATAAATACTTAAAAAGAAAGTTGATGGGAGAGTGTGGAAAACTGGAGGCAGCATGTTTGAACATGTTCCTGTTTTTAGTATTTTACCTTGTTTCATAATGTAGCTTGATTTTATTTTGTTTTATATCAGTACTTTTATTTACTTTTCATTTTATATGTATTTTATGATCATCTATTGTTGTCTGTATTTCAACTGTGTTCTTTGTTAACAGCAGGTCTCTCTTGTAAATAAGTCCTCGTGACTCAATGAGATTAACTTATAGAAATAAAAGTTGAATGAAAAATAAAATCTCCCAATTTATTTACATTCTTCAACATCAATTTATTGTTCATAAATTTCAATATGAAACCACAGAAAATTACTTAGTTTATTAGTGTGTGAATGAGTTTGACCTATAAACAAACAACAGGTATATTTCTAGTTTAAATTGTGTACAAGCCTACAGAGGAGCAGGGAAGAGAGATATCAGACTAGATCTTCATAATTAAGAAGCTGTTTATAAATGAGGGAAAGACCGATAGAGTGGGAGATGTGGGTTTAATTCTACAAACAAAGCAGCTTAAAGCAAGACATGGAGACACGTGCAGAGTGAAAATGATGTGAGGATGTACAGTATACACTAAAGACACCACAAGTCCCAAAACAGTTTTAATAGTATTATTATTTTTCCTTGTGGGCCAAACTTTGAATGTGCCCATCTGTTTTACGATATGTAAAAAAAAATCAATAAGAATTCATGCAAAAAACCCTCTCTGTCACTTATTTTGCCAATTAGTTTGATAGCTATGGAGCAGTAAAGAATGCATATTAAAACATTTGCTGCCTCTGTACTCTGATTTGTAATAATAAAACACAGCTGTGGGGAAAAGGACTTTTACTCATAATGAAAAGACTTCAAATGTACTGAACGACTTTCACTGAATGCCCTTTTTGGCTGTGTCAAAATATAATAAAATCATTTTATTTAAAAAGCGCCTTTCAGGACACCCAAGGACACTACAGTAAGAAACATATCAGAGAGATTGTGTAAAAACAAACAACAAGCACAGTGCAAAGATCAACAGGAATAAATTGAAATATAAAATACATAAAGAATATAAAATACATACAGAATATAAAATACATAAAGAATATAAAATACATATAGCAAAGTTAAGGATAAGCGAGTCTAAAGAGATGTGTTTTCAGAGCAGTCTTGACTAGAGAAAGAGAGGTGGTGTTTCTTAAGTCAGGGGGTAGAGAGTTCCAGAGATGAGGAGCAGAGCAGGTGAAGGCCCTGCTCCCCATGGTGGAGAATAGAGGATGACATTTTTTCGGGAGTACCGCGGGTCACGTGATTCCGGACGGATTCCGGCGGGACCGGAGTCAACCTCATTATAACTCACGTGACCAGACTGGAAGTTAACGGGAGCAGACAGGAGCGGGAACCGACCAATAACCAAAAATGAAAATGAAACAAAACAAAAAAAAGGCACAGCTATTTTGTAGTTTTCCTTCTGTAAGCCTTCACTTTAACACAAGCCAAAAGAACTACATTTCCCAGAAGTCAAAACACCGTAGCTTTTCACCAAGAGGGTGGGGAACAGCGAAATCTCTAAAGAAATCGAATGGCTGAAAAAGTTTGCAATGCAAGGTAAGAAGTAACGGTTTGTCTATTAAACTCACAGAACAGGCAGGAAAGTGTCAAATAACCCTGAACTTCATGAGAGTTGTGTTGGTGCTGTGCTGAGTTAAACGTTTAGTCTCAGCTGCAGCTGCGGTGGGAGTCGGACTTTGTTTACCGTCAGTAAATTAACAGACTCAAACAGCGCATTTTTCTCCACCTTGTCCTTTTTAATTTAAAAATTATGCTCTGCTTTTTTATGGGTTTTTTTAGGTTAAAATTTTCATTATCTGTCGCTGTTTGTAATGTAAAAAAACAACCGAACTCTACCTGGTTAAAGTGCACGCATTCTCCGGTAAAAATATTCCTATTTTTATATTGTGACATCCTGCTGGATACTGAAATGGAGGAAAATGTGAATAACCATCACTTTATTGTGTAAATAGTTACTGTCGGCTGTAACCATGCCAGTACAACAACAAACTTGTTAGAGTGAAAGCATTCTCTGGTAAAAATATCCCAGTGATATACGTGATATAATATCTGTGCCTACCTCACTCGGAGAAGCAAGACAACACAAAGACCCTTGTCACACACTTCAACAGAGCAGGTAAGATACATAACATCTTGTAATCTCTGCCTGGTGAGGCTGTTTAAGTAATTATAAAATATAATAAGTGAAATAAAGAAACACTGAGCTACTGTAATTTAAAATTGCAAATGTCACATTTTCTTGACTTAGTTTCAATTGTAAATCTCTTGTTTTTGATCAAATATTTTTTTCAAAAGAAAGGCCAACAGATTGTAATTTGTAGTCACTGTAACCCTTTGTGGACTCGTGCATGTCTTCTGTCACTTTTAGGTTCCACAAGGCTCTGGACTGGTCCAGCTGTGGAGAGACGAGTTGGAACACCAGACCTGCAATGGTCCAGTCTGTAAATGAAGCTCTGAAGTCTGGGAAGATGCACGACATCATGCTTCACCCAAACGAGCTCGTTACCTCGACCACATACACTGAACTTCTGGAGGACGTCGTCCAGTGTATAATAATGCCTTTAAACATTTTATTTGAGTTCTCTGCTTGGTACATTGTTTCTTTTTTTGTTTGTCTGTTTAAACAGTTTAAAACATGACAGTGATGTCACTGTTTAAAGGAAACAACTGCTCAATAAATTAGTAAAATGCAACTTGTTGTGTTTGGGTTCTTTCATCTAAGGTAGACATGGTGTGACCCATGGACTGGTTTAGATTTTTTGTTTTTACTGTAACTGACCTTCAAAAGAGCCAGAAACAGACAGCAGCTGATCCTCCGTAAAAACATTATATGGACTACAGACCATGGATTATTTGTTTTATGACATTTAGTGAAGGTTTTTGTTTGGATTAAGGAAATAAATGTCTCTATTTCACCACAGATGAACTGTTCCTGTTGCCATATCTTTTGAAA